AATAATAATAATAGCTTACAGTAATAATTGAGAGCTTACAGTACAGTGATTTCGTTACTTTTGATAGCTTACAGTTCAGTATTTTCGCTCAACTGAAAGGATGAGCTATGCTTAAACTGCTAAAGATTTAGATATTTGATGAAATAGTGCAGCTGCGTCTATCGCGGCCTGAAATGAAAGTTTTATCGTTTTGAAATCAACTGATATTTAATATTTAAATCATGTATATATTGTTGGTATAACAGTGTATTAATGGGAACAGTATTTCAAGCTACAATTTATATCTTCGCGTATAACAAGAGACACTTCGATCATCAATATCTTTGTATGTAGCATTATGATGGCTTCCTCCCAGCATTAACGTACAGAAATACACGTATTTGGGCTTCTAAATCACGTTCACTAAAATTAACACGAAGTTCAAGCAATTGAAATGCAGATATAGATTAACGAAAAAAAATTCCTTGTCGATATTTATATTAATTATGTATTACGCGAAGCGGCCGATAGTTCAAAATTCTACTTGTATTGAGCTATTAGCTGTTCCTTCGCCATTTCAAACGAAATGAACTTCCAAAAGAAATTAGGTGTCTCTGGTGTTGCTCCATGTTGCTCCGCGAGTTCCTTCCAGAAGGTTGCCATAAACCACTTCCAATACATTGATTGTTTTCTTGAAGTATCTCCAGTGATTTTCCAGGATTTGTAATAACTATCGACCTTACGGTAATCCTTAAAACGGTACCGTTTTCCGGGTGACTTGATGATTCCAAAGCTGTCATCTCCAACGACTTCCTCTGTGCAAATACCTGTGAATAAGCTTTTCGTCTTTGAATCCTTCAAACCAAAAATTCCCATCGGACGATGACAAAGCGTGAAGTGCGTTTCATTTGTGGTGTTTGGATGACTTTCATCACACAAAGCATTGCAAAATGGGCAAGAACGTTCACAAGCAAACATGCTTTTGAACACCACTTCATGCGGTGACGGATTCCATTTTCGAAAGATGGCATAATTAACTCCATGAGTGATCATAGATTCTATATGCGCGGTTAAACAATCGTAAACTGTTAATTGGAACACGTCAATTTCATCCAGATCTTCAATGACGACTGCAACAAACATTTCATTCTTGAGCACGAGTGTTTTACATTCCTCGACAAATTGCTGAATCCAAAAAGTCAGTTTCGCGTTCTCAGTAGTACTTGCTTTCCTGTTTGCGTGTTCAAAGGCATCGATGACTTTTTCTCTGATCTTGTTGATTTGTCTTTCGAAAAGCGTGTTGACAAAAGGCAGGTTTTCATTCAGACAGTAGTTCTCAATTGCTTCCATTAATTTCGCTTTCAAAATTAACTTGATCTTCAAGATAAGGAATGTACGACTCAAACTTGCCTTTGTCTCCCAGTTCAATAAGGACTCTTGCATGGAATCGACCTTTGTTCTGGTACTCTCCTCTCTTCAATAATTCTTTTGCCACGAAAGACCCATGTTAGACTCTAGTTCCGATTCAATTTGCTTTACAATTACATCAATGAACAAACAAGCAGCCAACTCCTGTTTTCCTTCTTGGAAATATTTTCAAAATAGTTTTGTAACACTGGTCGCAGGTTTTTTTCAAGGTTACCTCTTATGTCTCGTTCTTTTAAAAAGCGTCTCCATTTCTTCAAAGAGTTGGTACGACTGTGCGAAAGTATAGAGTAATATATCGAATGTTAAAGAAATTTTAAATTTGAAGTGATATTTCATGGTTTCTTCATCTATGGTGGTAACAACAATTTGGTACATCCGCTCAAGGTAACTGCGTGAACCTAACACCTGATTCTGACTCTTTTTTGCTAAATTCAAGAGCCATCTTAATAACATCTTTCTTGATTGTTCTAGCATGACGAAGACATTGTCTTCGAATCCATTCTTCGTCGTAGAGAAACTTTTTAAAAATGTCTATGTTGCATGAAAGATCATCGCTGACTATGTTAGGTTCAATACTAAATGATAAGACGGTGTTTTTGTTTTCTAATTTCTCTTCACCTAGAGAAGAGTTTTTCTCCCGAATGAAACTCATCATTTCATTGTTGATGTCAATTTTCTCCTCCTGTGACGGTGGAACTTCCGCAATCCATAACTGCCATTTTTCTTCAAATAACTCCCTCAAATTTTTCTTCTCTTTAAAGTCGGGAAATGAGCAAGTAAGGCTTTAGCTTCTTCCACGATTTGCTCTTCATAGACTACTTGTTTTTCTTCTACATCTTCAAGTTTCTGCAAATACACAAAGCTCTTTCGCAATCTTCGTCACCTGTTCCACTTGCATTTCTCTTTCCTTGTTATTTTTCGCTTATCTCTCTTCTCCACTTATCAAGACTCGTCTTATCTTCATTGTTTTCAAAAAAGGCATCCATTGCTTCTTCCATATCCTTTTCAAGCTTTTCTCCCGTATCACTTATCTCTCTCTGAATCTCATTCCATTTCCTCTCCCGTTCTTCACGCTTTGAGCATCTTTTTAGAGTTACATTAATTTCTCCTTTAAGTTGGCCATTCCATCAACCATCACAGTCAGAGAGGTCTTTGAATATTCTTCGTTCAAGGATCTCCGAGCCCTCAGTTCAATCGTATTCCGAAAACTAAATATGAAATGCTCTTTTAAAATTGCTTCCCAAAGATCAGTGACTCTCTTTCGAAAATAAACCAGTGAATAATGGGCACTATCTTTCAAGCACATCAGGTCAATGATGGCTTGTTTGATTTTCTGAACACTTCTTCCGTATGAGGGGTTTACAGGAGCCATTGGTTGATTTCCTATCAGCAGGGTTGGCAAATAAAACACGTCTTTTTTTTCATCAAATGAAATGATGTCATTAAATTTGGTAAATTTATTCTCGCACTTTTCCTGACTTGCCGCAATCAATGTCATTTCATCCAGATTTCTTGAAATTAAACGGTGACAACCTAATTATCTTCAGCATCAACTGCAACAACATTTTGATGGACAATCAGACACGATTTCTTCTTCTCCTCCTCTACAAGCTTCATTTTCACGAAAGCAGACACAGCCATGCCCAAGAAGTCTTTTATTTCGTTATGACTTCACCGAAGATATTCACAATAGTCACATCGCCAAACCAATAACGAAGGTTGCTAACTCATTGTCGTGTTGTCGTAATAGGGGATCCGAGTTTCCGATTAGACCTTCAGTATCAACAACCAAAATAATCAAAGTTTGAAGCATCCTTAGGGATCGCTGACAGGAAGAAGACTCGCGAAACGCCGCGGTACACCCTCCTACACTGACTGGAAATCTAAACCAAACATTGTGTTTAACATTGTGACTTACCTGAACTTTGAATTCCTAAACAGAAATACAAAATTGGCATTTTTGTCTTGTCTTGAAGTTTACCATATACAGCATCGAACCATCGCAGTGGAATGTAAAAGGAATCTCCATCCAGTATCTCCAGAGGTTGCCCAGAAAGCAACATGTCTGCAGCAGCACCTGCATAGTCGTTCGTAGATATTTGTGAGCTGGTATAGCTGCGCTAGTTCCCGGATGATGTGCTCTAAACCAAACGAGAACTTTGGTTCATCTATTTGTTTTGATGTTCGCCCGTGACGTGGCGCGAATCTCCAATTTTTGCTTTTGATCATCTCGAAACGAACAGGTTTTGAGCTAGAGACATCTTGTCCAACTGTGCTTTAATTTATTCAAGGCGTTATTTCGTTCCCGTCCATTCATCGTTGCAATCAAATTAAGACAGTAAAGAATCTTTCGTCTAAGTCACTGAAAGATGCTATTTTAGCTTTTCGCATTCTTCAATCTTTTGAAATACTTCGTCATTCCGGAAGATTTTGGACGATGCAATTCGCGATCCAACTTCGCCAGTTCTGGAATATGCGTTTGTAACTTCATAAGATTTTAGCTTCTTTGATGCCCATTTGCAACCAGCTGTCCACATTTCCAGAAGTTGGATCTGATTGGTCGTAATCAAGTGAGATACCGTGTCCACCAGCGACAAGTGCAAGGTTCACTAAAGGTGCTGCTTTCACCCCTTGGATAGCCTTTTGGATAGCTGCTCGGATTTTATCCAAAAGCTTGTGATCATTGAACTTGCTGTCGTTCATTACCAAGGAAAGCTTATCGCTGTGTTTACTTTTTAAATCTTTGAAATAATTCTCGTCTGTGCCTGTTTCTGTTTCTGTGTTGCTTCCGGAAAGATGAGATAAATCTTTACTACTTCGCTTTGTGTTGCTTTATTCAAGACAGCCATCGTGGTTTCATCGGACACTGCGAGGTTAGTACTATACATAACACGGACGAGATCTTGAGAAGGAAATTTAATTGCTTTTCAAAATGTCTGGCGTCTCCTCGAAGGTTAAAAAGCAAATTTCATTTTGCAATTTTTGTCCCTGTCCACTACTTGGAAGATACCAGCTCAATTCAACCAATCCCGATCACTTTACGCTCGACGTCACCACCCTTCATTTCTCTGTGAAAAAAAAAGTCGTGATGATTGCTTCCATCACTCATAATTTTATTAATTAAAATGATTTTGACTTGGCAATTTCGCCGATGCGGATGAAGGAAACGATTGGAAATGGATGCTCTGTCGCAAACACTCGTACACGCTTTTATTTTCATTAGAACCAGTCTTCCAAGACTTCGTGATGCTCTCCAAAGCTGATAGAAACATTGTGACGTTCTCCGTAGGCGCTGCCAGGTCAGGCACAAGAAACGGAACGCTAAGCTGACATGTAGACATTCTATTGGCAAGATAACGTCGTAAAGAGTTATCGGAACAACGAAAAGTACCGATTAAGGCATCCATCGAATTCACAGCTACAATATCCTCGTCATCTACATCCTCATCGTCATCTGAATTATCGGAATTTTTAGTGTTATCTTCATTTGAGTTTAAAGATTTTAATTTAAGTTCACGCAAGTGTAATCTGCTATCATGAGTTTACTAAAAATATATTCAGGTATTTGTCTGAAGACGTTAATTGATCATCCATTAGGTATGGTTATCGATTTTTCGAGCATGTTTTAAAGAATATTTTCGATGAGGCCTCAGGTTACTATCAGTGGAGGATTGTGACAGTGTGTTGCTTGTGTTTGCATCCTGTGTGTTTGTGATCTCAGGTGCATGCGCAGTAGCTGCGGTGATTGTATTATTGGATTGACATGTTTGTTCTGGTTGATCCACTTGCGCTGTTGAACCCAGAAGATCCTCCTGGCCAGGAATATTTACTGAAGAAACAAAAATGGAATTTTAAACTTTGTTTCATCATCAGTAAGCAAATAACACGAGCCTCGTTTCCCAAGTCTTTAAAAAATATATTAAAGACGCATTATGGAATGTCTCAATGATATACTTAATTCTCGAAATATTTGGTAAACAAAGTTTAAAGATGACAAAATGATTAAATATTAACCTCCATAACTTTTTATCACAAGTATATCAGGCCACAAAACGTGAACTTCGAAGAGGTAAACTATCGCATCCGTTCGTTCCATGACCGGAACTATATATTTATAATATATTATAAAACTCTTACTTCCCCAGAATAGTTAAGTCCATGTATTTACATGGTATTTTACATTTCTGTAGTATTCAAAAGGGGAGGAATGTCAATTGAGATTTCCGGCCTGTTTTTCTCCCTTGTCGTCGCTTAGTTCTTTTTTGGGGGGGGGGGTTCTATCTGTACCTCATGCCTGTATTTCTCTTCATATCTATATTTATGTGACAAATTCTAATAGACAATAATAAACAATAAGATTTCATTATTTTGCTTTCGCATGGTCGTACATGCACAACCATTTTCCAAAAGTCGCATGTTTTAACAATTACGAATTTTTCAGCTGTCATTACCAGTCTCCTAAATCAGATATAAAAATGCTAGAGATCAAGTGAGAAGGAGCTCCTTGGGATAAATTCGCAATAAAAGAAAAAAATGCTCTATTATTCCTTCCAGCAGTTGGTAGGCAATTAAAGAGTTGCTTGCAAAACCGCTTTTGAATGACAAATTAATTAGGCATTTAGGAAATTTTGAAGCGCTATAGCTATAAAAAATTTACAGCTCATACACTTTGAATCACTGGTATGCCCAATTTCCAAATACTCTGTAGAAAGTGAGTGTTCAGGATCTCTCTGAACGTTTTTGTTTTTGTGTACTGCAAAATATTGAAATAACTCAAAACCAGGGGGCAAAATTGGAAACACAACCTGGGAAAAAAGTAGGGGGAGTTTTTGAATCAGGAAATAATCGTTCTGTAAGGTACACTTTACATCCACCGTTGAGGTTTAGGCAGATTATTGTCACGAAAAATGATACTTATAAATATAGGCGAATTGGCTGTATATGGAATCAAACGGGCAAGTAGGAAATGCATGATCAGTACTATATGACAGAATCTTCATTCTTTACTTCTATAGTTAGGTATTGGACACACTCATCAATTTTAACGAAGAAACTATTCCTGATGTTTCGATTAATGTTATGTGGTTATTGTGAATTGGTGATTGGTTATTGTGAATATTCAAAAGTTGTCCTCTATTAGACATTATTATCTACGTCAATTTATTGAAGACTATTACAAGAAGCACCACTCAACCTCCAAGCAGCTGGTATAGAAGTAAGGCTACCATCAGCCGCACACACCACCGAGTTGGCTTCTACTCTCGTTCCCCGAGAAAGACCCCTATGCTAAAGCCAAGACACATCAAAGCTTGCCTGAAATTTGCGCAATAGCATGTCGATGAAGCAGCTAGATTTGGGGAAAAAATCCTGTGGTCGCGGATGAGACGAAAATGGAGCTATTTGCATGGAGGGAACAGCTAGTGCATGGCATGTTTAGAAAAAGAACGGTACGGCGAAACCCGATGCCAACTATGAAACACGGCAGGGGGAGCATCATGCTCTGGGGATGTTTTTCATTTAGTGGTACAGGTAACCTTCATGTCATTGAAGGAAAAATGGATAGTATACAATGTACCATGAGATATCGCTTAAAAGCATGGCTCCTGTAACTACCAAAAAGCTTAGGTTATCAAGAGGTTGGATCAACGATCCAAAATACACAGCAGTGAAAACAAAGGAGTAGTTTTAAGGAAAAAGAGTCAGGGTTTTGGAGTGGCCGAATCAATCACCTGACCTTAATCCAATTGAACATATCTGGAAACATGTAAAAATTCAAGTTCATGCAAAAAACCCACAAATATGAAAGAACTTAAGAAAGAACTTATTTTTTCAACAGGAGTGGGAGAAAATTACGGGTGATTTTTGCAAGAAACGTATTTCAACCTACCCTAAACGTATGGCGGCGGTTATTGCATGCAAACAAAGAGCATATGTTACAAGATATTAAACTTTGTCTTTCAGAATCTGTCTAATACTTTTGAGTTTTCATTCTGAGGAAGAATTTCATTGTTTGTTTTGCAATTTCAGAAAAATAAAACAAAATGAAACAAAATAAAACAAAATTAAACAAAATTAAACAAAATGAAACAAAACGAAATGAAACTTTGACATCACCTCGCCTTTAGCAAAAAATTGTAAAATTTCTCGTACTCTACCTTTTCCATTGTCTCCATTTCTTGGAACCTCAAATTCACTAATTGAAGAATAATTCTCAGAATCGATATTCTCGGGTTTCCCAGAATTTTTTGCGTGCACACACTTTGCACATTCCCTTGGTTTCTTTCGTAGATTTTCATCTTCTGATTTCTCCATAGTACTAAAAATATAAATAACATTTATGTACTTCCCAAAAAATTTTATTTACTTTCCCAAGCAATAACACAACGGTCAAACGAAATATGGCCAACAAATTCATACTCAAAAACGAATGAAAAACAGCCAACAAACATATACTCAAAAACCCAGCGAGTACGAGCGCTGGCTGATGGCGTAGGCTAAGCAAACAACACGCGAGAATGACGAATCTCGTGCTTGTAGTCACTTCTAAAACTCCCTAATAACAAGGGGGTCTGTTAATGTTGTAGTCAGTACAAAAAAAACATAGAGATGTAAATATTTACCGATCATGTACACTGTATGATAAGTCTCACAAAATTAATGTTGCAAATCTGCAGTTAATAAGTTTAAGGTTAGGTCTATGCCAAAATGCAGAACTTATTTACCTAAACTGAGTAACCAGCGTTGCCCAAATAATTAGTTTTGAATTCCCACGGGAAAGAGACCAATGAGAATGTAGCCCGAAATGTTTGCTTATGACATAACGAAGACAATATGCCGCCGGTATATAAATTATTATTGCTATTATAAGAAAATGGAATGGGTTATAATTTGTGCGAGAAAATACATGTCAATCAGTAACTTAATGCGTCAGTCGTCACTAACTTAATGCATGAGTTGAATCAAAAATGCGAAGAGAAATTACATAATGCACAACGCTAGACGTCTCTGCAAAAGGCTGCAGCGTTCTTCGTAAAGGCACTTGCAAATTTAGGTGCGATGTTATGCGCGATTTTCGTCTTTTGGTAGATGTTAACGAGTGACTAGTTACGAATGGTCCGATTTTTTCGAAGAGCATTTATTCGAACATGTGTAACTAACTCACTCATTCACATCCGTGAAAAGAAGAAAATTGCACATAAAATCACAGCAAAAATCGCAAGTGGAAACCAGTCTTAAACCCTGGTCAAACGAGAATGTTAGTTGATGAGAGTTGAGAAGCGAGAGTTCACACGAGAGTTTTCCAAACTCTCGATGCGACGGTCAAACGAGAATGAGAGTTGATGAGAGTTGAGAACGAGAGTTGATTATTATTATTTAACTCTCATCAACTCTCATCAACTCTCATCAAAATTTGAACCAGTTCAAAGTCGATGAGAGTTGATGAGAGTGCACGAGAGTGTATGAGAGTTTATGTTTTCTAAAGAACGAAGCTATGCTATTGAAATAGAAATGTATCGTAAAGTTTGGCCACTGAAAATCATTCTTGCGAGGAGCTGGGACCCTACCCACTATAGTATTAAGAATCCAATATCAACTTGTTTTACATTCATACCGCTATCACATCGTTTATCTATAATAGTGTCTGAAATGTATATCTGTATCGTGAAAGAGGAATAGTGACAGTATTTCTTTACGACGAGGTCGTGACATAAAATACAGGCGCTCGCGTTGGAAAGCAAATTTTAAGTGTTATGCATATGGGCTGTAACATTGTTTACCAAAAAAGCCTATTTTTTATCTCTGTTGTAAACTGTTGAAATAACGAAAGTATAACTTCCGTTCGTATCGTAGATTTGGTGTTCCTAAACTCGCTATATTTCATCTTAACCTCGCTTTATGTCGCAAAGTACCCCAATGGACGACTTGCGCTTTAGACTAACTTTTGATGGAAGTAACTAGAGGAAAATAAATCACCCCAGCTAGAAAGATCTTACTTAAATTAGTAAAACTTCCAGTTTGGCTGCGAAATCTTTTAAAATACGGAAAATATAGCCATGCGAAGTTAGCAAATTTTGTATACTTTTGTATTACGGCCGGAAATGTGTAACTAAATTAGCCTTTCTCACGATGACGTTTTGGGGTACTTTCAATTTTCTGAAATGGGTTTAAAAATTATGTTTAAACATCAAAAGCAACTTTTTTAGAATAAACAGACCATTAGAAGAATAAATTCAGCCTTAAATTAAAGACAGTCGCCTTTACCAAGTCTTACGCTCACGGTTTTTGAAAAAAGTACCCCAAAAATGGCGGCATATTCGTCATCGTGAGAAAGGCTAATTAGTTACAAACTTCCGGTCGTAATACAAAAGTATACAAAAATCGACAACTTCGCATGGCTGTATTTCCCATATTTTACAAAATTTGGCTGTCAAACTTGGCAGTATAACTAATTTTAGTAAGCTCTTTCAGAAAATGTCATTTTTATTGCCAAGGTAAGAAATTAGTCTAAAGCGCAAGTCGTCCATTGTTTTTGGCATTTGAAGAGCTATTTGGAATTCTTATTTTACCTCGTGACAATCGCCGCTGCTCTTTCTTCTACTTCTTCAATGTTTCTTATTTCAACCACCAATTCTTCCGTTTCAATACCAATATCCAAGAACTCCTTTTCCAAGCGTTCTTTTATTCTACCCGATTTAAAATCGTTTAAAACTTCCAGGAATCTTTTGCCCGTGAAACATTGCAGTGCAACATGAAGCTTTCCTGGTAAGATGTCGCTGACTTCCTGGTCTTCTCTCTCCCCACCAAGGCCTTTATCAATAGCCCCCTTCATTGTCAGTTTAAGTTGACGTGATTTATACTGGTATATCGCATATATTCCGCTTAGTGTGACTACAGTTCCTGCTATCACGGTAGAAGTCACTTTGTCGGCGTGGATAATAAACTGGAAAACACCACTAATGCTACGGGAACATGTAGCACATACATGCTGTCCTTCGAATACTGCTGCCATGAGAATGCCTTTGCCTAGATTTAAAAATGAATAAATTATAAACACTGTTAAAACCTCTTTAAATTGCAAAAGGATTTCCCCATAAGACCTCTTTGCCAGCCCATCGTAAAGAATTCTACGTCAAAATGCTATATAGCCTAGGTGCATATCCAACGAACTCACGTACTCTACACGAGCAGACCTTTATAATTGTATATATTTTTTAAGGAAAGCTTCAAACTTCTGTTGGCAGCGCGTAAAATGTCTTACGTTATCACGAAATAAGAACAATGGCTATATTTCCTGTTTTATAGGCGCAGTAAGATTTAGGGGAAAAAACTATATGACTTGCAATAATGATTCTCTGTTATAACAGCCGACGTAAAAATGCAACATGTACACCTTTCCAATGCAAGGATGAACATCATCAACAATTGTTTGTAATAGGCATGCAGCTATATACTGTTTTAAAATCATTATTCGTGCAATTCATCTTATTTTCAGCTCTTCGATGAAACTTATATTGCATGTATAAGTAAATTCACAAATTCCCTGTTTAATTAAATATTGTGATATAAACACAACCAAAATGGAGCAAGTTCCCGTAGTATTGTTGGCATAGAATGAAAATTTGAGTAATTATCCTCATACGTTTGGAAACAGACTTTTTTTCATCGAATGTTTATCGGTAGTCTTGATGACAATTGTTCTACTAACACGCAATAATGTTCTGTATCGATAAAATACGAACGAAAATAGTTCTAGGGTGTTGAAAGAGGTAAAAAAATGACGGAATACCAAGCGTAATGGTAATATTTACCGTCAAGGATCTATGTCACTGCCTAGAATTTCGACATTGGCTAAAGCGCGTTTTCCACTAGGCAGGCGAATTTATTCGCGCGACGCAAAGCGATATCTGAAATCCCGTGATGTGATTCGTTTGGGAAAAAATTGCCGCAAGATAGTACAATGACTTCCTACTTTTTATCTGATCCGCGAATAAATTCTGGTGTAGTGGAAAACAGTCTTAAATGGCAGCAAAACATTGAGCATATTAGCAGCAAGCAATGTGGAGTGCTTTGGGAAGAAAACATAATTTGGAATATAGACAGCAAAAGTTGCAAAACATTGTGGAATATTAGCAAAAAAAGCTTATTTGTTTTGAAAATCTTAAAATGACGTCCAGCGCATTATGACACGTCAGTCAAATCAAGGTCACGTGTGGCGTTCGAGTAACTATCGTCACCAGACGACTTCTCGAAACGACTAAAAATAAATTTGACCTTTACATATCGCGGACTTGACAAACAAATGTTTTTACTTGGGCATCATTGCATGTCCAGCCGTATGTCGACAAACGGACCAGACATTCAATCCGAACTAAACGCGGTATTTTATTTGATGTAAGGCTAGTTTCCACTCAGGAAAATTCTCCTTTGGATCGGATAGGACAGGAAAGTTTCCTTTGTATAAACGCCACTTGAGAACTCACCGACAAAGAAAACTTTCCTGTCCATTCCGATCCAAAGGAGATTTTTCCTGAGTGGAAACTAGCCTTTAATCACATCAAAAGCACTCATCTTTATGCTCGTCTTCCCGTGTCAATTTCCCGCACGTGCATGTACGTACTAAATATATGCACTACTAACGAGTCTAGTGTTTTTGAATAGAAAATTTCCTTTACTAAAATAATGACTGCTAATATATCAGTATGGCAGGTATCGAAGTGGTGCCGCAGTTACGAAGTCGAAAGATGTGGTATGCAAACGCACGATAAAATCCCGTGGTAGCACATATTTTGAACTAATTAGCATCAATTGTGGTACAACAACTGCCTAAATTAGACAAAATACTTCTCGACGTTTCGACCTGAGGGCCTTCGTGATATTTTGAACTGCTAAGCCCTCGCGGTTGTGATTAGATGCAAATCGAAAGTTCCCTTTCGAAGGACTGGAACTTCACATTTTTCTGCGAAAGGACCCAATTATACTCTAGGCTGATTTGCGTAGTCGTATTATGTACACCCGGCTAAATAGATATGAGGAGAAAGGGTCGTACAGAGTCTATATACGATAATGTAGAAGCGGTTATCAAAATACTCACACACAATGCACCTCTCTTCGTCTAAATTCCTTTCACCATCTCATTTTAGACGCACAATTAAATAGTTACATCCAAGCTGTGGCCGTCCGCCGTTGATATTGATAAGATGGCCGTAGTTAAAACATTTTCCGAGGATTTTCGCGAAAATTTATTATCGTCTATAAATATGCGACGTCTATATTATTAGTACTGCTGTGCCGTCGATTCCTTTCGTTTAGTGAAACCCAAAACCGGTCTTGAAATTCGATACCGACACAAAAATCACACACGAGCCTGTTGTCAGTGGTCGGTAACTTTGATTTGATTGTTAAATTTTCATTTTTGGATACGTATGCCAATATAAAAAAAATCGTGAAAGAAACAGTGAAACACAAACAAAACTACAAAAGTGTTGCTCCCTAAATATATCATGCGATCTGATTAGGAGGACCAGTCCTTAATTCCTTGGGGAAAACCCGCGCGCGGGACATCACGAATGGGGCGCGCAGCAGTTTCCACGCACGCATCGCGCGACCGCTAAGGATGCCAAAGCGCCTGGATCCGAGGTTAGAATCGATCGAAGATAAACGATGGATCACGTTTACGAACTTCTTGAATATCTGTGTCACAATAACTCTACACCAATTATTCAATTCTAAAAATAATGGTAACCTTGCATACGCGTCCATCACAAATATATGTTAAAAGTTGGTCAGTTGATATAGCTTTCGATTAAAGAACTTGTATTTTTATTTACTCTTTGCCCTGCTGGAAACCGACGCCCCATTGGTAAATCGAGAAAACTTTCACTTTAAACAATTTAGGCATAGTCATAGGCATTCTCAAATTTCAAGACACTTTTGATTAAACACAACAACAATGGCGCCACGGAACCGAAAGTCAATATGTAAAAGTAGGTTCTTACGGCATTCAACGAATATCTGAAACATTCCTCTCCAACTTGCTAAAACTTGCTAAGCAGAATCGCTCGCGGCGCCACGCATTGGGAATTATTGCTTTGCGCTCAACGTTTTAATTCATCTCGTCCTGTTAGGGCTCCCCGCGGACGCGAAATACTTGAGGTCGGCGCGTCGCATTTTTTGCAACCAATCTACTTTCCGCTAAATCGAATCCTACGGTTGTTATAGACTTATAGCGATAAACATTCAAGAGTTGGCAGCTGATCGCATTGGCGGGCCCTTTGAGTACCCTCCGTTTGCCAATTTTCGCGTTTCGCTGTTAGGGGTGATTCCTAAGAAAACTCCGGGAGAATATACTTTAATTCAACATTCGTCTTCTCCCAGTGTTGACTCGGTTAACGACGGTATTGCCCAAGAGCACACCACTGTACACTACGCTATAAAGTGGACGATGCTATCGAAATGATCAAGCGGTTAGGGCGCGGGTGTTTTTTGGCTAAAACAGATATTAAGAGCGCATTTCGCATTATTCCCATCAGACCGGCCGATTACGTTCTGTACCAAATCCAGTTTGCAGCCTTCATTGATTCCTACTTACAGCCCGGCCTGGAAATTCTATAGTTTACTTTTCGTTTGCGGTATTGCCTCCTAATTTAGTGCATCTCCCCATATCGTCCTTGAATAATTTGCGAATTGCCTCATCGAAAGCCAGTCTGCATGTGTAAATATTTTTCATTTACACATTGTGACATACGTGAGTACATAAGTATATCAAGGTTTCTATTTCCTCTTAAGACATACCTAACTTAAGAATTAATATTAAAGCTCTTATGGCTACATATGGCTATAGCTACAACTTTAAAAACTCAACCTTAAAAATCCGCCTTGCACAATGTTAAAAATTCGGTCATCGCTCTCGAAGAGGACAAAAATTGTTGCTATTTCTTTAAATGTGATATATCAGTGTCCTAATTGACGGTGGCGTCGCCAGCATCGATAAGTGGTGTGCATATATTAATATTTTATGTTCACAGAGGGTAAAAACAATCAATTTGAAAAGAAATTAATAATGTGAAAAACGAATACATATGAATTTAGTATTTTCGCACAAGTGAATATAACAAATCCTACATTCTGAATGGTCAAATCGGACGTATTATTCTGTAAGAAACGCGAAATTTCAAAATGGCGGCTAGCCGTTTTGTGGACGTTTCTTACAAAGATATAAGCGAACAAATGCAGTTCTTGTGTCAATTCACTTCTGCAAAAATACGGAAACAATTATTCACCTTAGGCTCGGTGATTATCAGGGAATATTCACCTCGACTTCGGGGAATATTCTCGGATAATCACCTCGCCTTAATTCGGCGAATAATTGGTACATGTCCACCCTACTTATAATGCTGGTTTTCTCTCCGGTGAGGATTCAATATTCATGATATGCACACATAAGCATTCACATGCACTCCCGTATGGCATCAATGAATCCAGACAATATTGTCGGGAGAAACAAAACTTAAATATCTCTGCTGTATTTGGGCTAAAGACCCCGGATTACCACAAAACGATAGCGCTTGAAAAGATTATTTAAATAGGATATTCAAACCAGCAGATAGCTATAAGCTGCAATTGTATTATAAGTCAAAACAAGAGTCAAAATTATAGGTTGCTTTGTTAGCTCAAATTACTCACCCATAGCAGCCATATACTTTAGAGATTCCGGATTTTTTCGCTTTTCTTGTTCTGTTCTGTCTTCAAAATGTCTGAATTTTACATATTATCATTCTGTTATAATTCCGAGTAATGTTTACAGTAGGATGTGCAAAGATTCGAAGAAATAGCGTTTTATAAGTTCTAAGCGATAATCGTTGCTAAACGCGTGCTTATACTGCATGCTCGGAATGTTGTCATGCGGTTGGAAAATGTGATAAAACTCCATGATTACCTCCCCCTGGAGTAAATTTGACCTGACGTAAAATTGGAACAAGGAGTCAGTTTTTCGGCTTTTTTTTTCCGAAATATTATTGTCAGTGATGCGATAATTCATATCATCAATATATAAAAAATCGGCAAAAATCTTCTAAAGGCTCAATCTTGACGCTAAAGATATCAAAATAATCCTGAAAATGTGAACTAAATCACTGTAACCCGTTTTCGTTTGCGTTTTGGTTAGTATTTTATAGATTAGGCCGGTTTGATGTGTAATATTGAATAGTGGTGCACTTGTTTTTATCACTATACAGGATATATAGCAACGCCTCTCATGTAAAGAGTACATAACAATGAAATACAAGTATATAGACAAGTATAGACATAATGAGAGTCACTCGAGTGATGACAGGACTACTTGAATTATCCGGGTGATTATGCATAAAAATTTGAAATGGGAAGAAATTTAAAACATTTTTAATTCAAATGCGAGAACGGTCTTTAATAGCGTTTTATAAGTTCTTCACACGTAAAAATATCGTATCTTGTAGCAAGTCTGTTCACAAACGCCCTAGGGAAGTAATTGAACAGCAGAGCGATATTAGCTATATAAAAAGAGTCATTCCAGTGATGACAGGACCACTTGTAATTATCAGTGGTAATTATACATTCAAATTTGAAATAGGAAGAAATTTAAAAAAATTTTCAAATGCGAAAATTGACTCCTTAATTAATGACTTGAAGCAAAACTTAAATATCTCTGCAAGTATTTGGGCTAAAGACCCCGGAATACCACAAAACGATAGCGCTGGAAAAATTATTTAAATAGAATATTCAAACCAGTAGATAGTTATAAGCTGCATTTGTATTATAAGTCGAAACAAGAGTCAAAATAATAGCTTGCTTTGGGATGTGCAAAAGAATTGCGGAGAAATAGCGTTTTACAAGTTCTACACGCGTAAAAATATCATATCTTGTAACAAGTCTGTTCACAAACTTGCAACAAGATTTGTTCGCACTGTTTGTCCCAAGCTGTTGACGAAATGGGACAAATGACTTTTTAACATGTTGTAGCAAACTTGTTGAATTAAAAGACTTGCTACACGGCTCTTCCAACAAGTCTTGTACAAACATCACGGCACGTGCTTACTGCATGTCGGAATCGGTTGTCATGCGGTTGGGAAATGTGACAAAATTCCATGCATGATGCCCTTCCACTAAGGTACATTTGACCCTAAAAATCGATTCCTGACATAAAATTGGACCAAGGGTTCAGTCTCACAGCCTTTTTTGCTCGAAATATTATTGTCGGTGATGCGATAATTCATATCATCATGGATGCTCATATAAAAAATCGGCAAAAAACTCGATTTTATCGAAAAGGCTCGATTTTGACGCTAAAGATATCAATCCTGAAAATGTGAACTAAATCACTGTAAGCCGTTTTCGTTTAAATTTTAGGCAATATTTTGTAGATTAGGCCGGTTTTGTTTTATATTGAATGATAAATAAATCGCATGATTTTTAAAGTGAATATCATAGCGAATTGGCAACATATCAATATAAAAAAACAAGTAAACAGTAAATCTTGAAAAGAATACTAATTTGAAGGTAGGTTGAATTATTTAAATCATGGAGCTCCTTAATGGAGCAGAAATAATCCAATATTAAGAAACTTTGCTTGTATGTCAACTAAGTGAGTTTAGGTTAGCTAAGTTACTTATTGATGTCACCATGCAACAAGAATATTAAATCACCATTGTTTGTCGACTTTATTTTCATGAAATGTACGTTATTGATTAGAGTATAGGATTTATCATTATTTGCAAATGTAGTTGTTTTTATCACTACATTTTGGCAGGATAACAACGTCTCTCGTGTAAAGAGTACAACATCAATGAAATACAAGTATAGACAAGTATGAGACATAAAAGAGCCACTCGAGTGATGACAGGACTACTTGTAATTATCAGTGGTAATTATATATCATTGATTCTCAAACTTGGCATGGCAGGAACTGTATAAATAGCTTGACCAAATAGCAGTTTGTTCTGAGAATCGATGAAAAGAAACTAGTAAAGTTAAATATTTCAAAAGCTTAGAGAAGATATAAAAGTGTCGGAAAATTGCGACCGCCAGAACTTTAAAGTTAAAATTAAATCCGCCGTGACATGACAGAAATTTCGAATTTATTAACTGTTGTAAATAATAATAATTTAGGCTGGAGTATTAGTAATATTTAAGACTGAATCACAACTCAAATCACTAATGAAATTCTCATTAAATAACCTACCATTTATGGCACCGTTTCACAAGAAAATATCAAAATTTATTTCATATTATTTCATAAATATCTAGATCAAAATTTTTGTCTACTTTGCAGACTATAGTAACAAGAATCAATACCTAACTATCACAATATAATGATTTAAAAGGCATGCACCAGTGGTTATCTGACATGTTGAAATATTCAACTGATATTTTTTATCATTTCGTGAATAATTAACAAAACATTTACCTTTTTATTTCAAAACTTTTCATTTCGACACTTTTCGTGCACAAAATGCCAGGCAACGAGAAATATCATAAGAAAAAAACCCCAACAAAAAGTGGTCCACGCATTGCTTGGCGGCCGTTAGGACTTACTTCTAGTCAATAAAAAATACCACAACATTCTACAAGAAGCAATTTACTTGTGCTCAATTTCAAGGGGGGGATAATTCATTTCTTTGCTGTATTTTCACAGCCGCCATTTGCGAAATTAGAGATGGCCGTAGCATATGTCTTTGTTTGTGTATTATATCAGTAATGCCAATGGTCCGTTCTTTCTTTCATATTTCACCGTATACACTATATAGTGTCCATATTTCTTTTTCAAACGACAGTATTTCAGGTTTAGGCAACTTGACTTTTCCTTTATTTCGATATAACATGCCAGAGAGCCATTTTTGAATTGCACAATGAACTTTACAAAGATTCTTTATTTTGAAGTGTCCCTTTTTATTGCCGCGGTACGTCTTCTGATTATTATTGTGCAGAGCTCCTTCCATCTAAGACACTTGCTCATGATGTAGTTTAATAAATACGTTGTTGACATCCTGGAAAACTGCCACGATCCACATGTAACCGCACGAAACGCCAAATAAATAATCTTTCCTGCTTCTCTCAGATTGCCACTTTGTTCATAAACATTGCTCTTGAATCGAATTTTTTTGTGTGATTCTTTCGCTGCTCTTTGAGTAGATATGAATTTTTTTCATTTCAGAAAGCCTCGTACGATATGTCCACGAAACGAGTCTACATGTCTTGAACAATATGTAAATTAATATGTGTCGAAACAAAACGACAATGGCTTTCCAGATGATGCATGTCAACATGAAAATTTTGCTGTTCACCAACACATTGGAACTTCTCAATCAACCCTGCACGCATATACTGTTACATCCCAGAAAATTATTGAGCACAAGAAACATAATTGCAGGATGTTGTGAAGCGAGAAGAAGTAGAACAAAATTTTTAAAACATGCTTTACGTGAGTGACATATCTCATAGCCTGGCCGGTTATTTTTTCAAAATAGAGCAATTTTAACACACGAAGTCCGTATATTTCTTGAACTCGGAATGCATGCGACATGCACGTGTTTCCATCAGAATATCTCAAAATATCGATGAACCACTGTTTTTTGTCAACATTCTTTACGATATCAAAAAATCACTAAAATCTATCTATCTAGTTATCAAAATGTTAACAAAATAGTCATCAAATCAAATTCGTGCATATAGAGATTATTTAACTCTACAGACTATAGCTATAAAAAATGAAAGGATATATGTCTATTACAATTGCTTATAACTATAGCTATTGTCACAAACTTCTACATGGGTCCCTCCAGGTTAAAAGGAATTCCTTGACGAGCAAAAAGGTTACTAACGCTTCCAATTGGGTCAGCAAACTCGTTAGTCGATCGATGAGCCAGAACTGACTTACATGGGGACAGCAATTTCTTGGTGTATTTGCATACATATAATGTCAGAGGTTATTGCTGTGTGCATAATGCATGTATGGATTGATATTTTTTCATAATGCATGGATGGTATGTGCACTGATCGAGATCAGAGGCCTCTCGTGGCAAATAATATATTTAATTTAGTTAAAGTCATTATTTGTTTATAATTATTTAATGTATATAGCAATTATATGCATTATACTTTTATACAGGATGAATAAAAACAACCTTAGTAATCCCAGTGCGCCTACGGTCTTTTTTTTGAAAAGAAGCGCTTCGATTCATCAAATATTCAGTGGTTGCGTTTTTTTATACACCCAAAAAAGATAACTCACAATAGAAAATCGGCTTTTCTAAAAGCAATTTTCCGGCTTTATGACGTGATGTATAATAATCTATTACGATAAGTCAAAATATATAGCTGAGTTATCGAAATAAATTTTAGTGAATTACAATAATAATAGCTTACAGTAATAATTGATAGCTTGCAGTACAGTGATTTCGTTACTTTTGATAGCTTACAGTACAGTATTTTCGCTCAACTGAAAGGATGAGCTATGCTTAAACTGCTAAAGATTTAAATATTTGATGAAATAGCGCAGCTGCGTCTATCGCGGCCGGAAATGAAAGTTTTGTTGTTTTGAAATCAACTAATATTTAATATTTAAATCATTTATATGTTGTTGTATAACAGTGTATTAATGGGAACAGTATTTCAAGCTACAATTTATATCTTCGCGTATAACAAGAGACACTTCGATCATCAATATCTTTGTATGTAGCATTATGATGGCTTCCTCCCAGCATTAACGTACAGACATGCACGTATTTGGGCTTCTAAATCACGTTTACTAGAATTAACACGAAGTTCGAACAATTGAAATGCAGATATAGATTAACGGAAAAAAAATTCCTTGTCGATATTTATATTAATTATGTATTACGCGAAGCGGCCGATAGTTCAAAATTCTACTTACAACTTGTATTGAGCTATTAGCTGTTCCTTCGCCATTTCAAACGAAATGAACATCCAAAAGAAATTAG